ATGCTAGGATGTCAGGCCATGGCTCCCTGCTATCTCTTCACGTCGCTTCCCCCCCTCTCTCACATTTGCACTGACGATTTCGACATCTCTCATGCACCGACCGTCCCTCCCCTACGTGTTTGCGTTTGGTCCTTACTCCCACTTGTCTACGGGGGCGAAGCGCGCCCTGGCGTGTCGCTAAAGTGCTGCAACCACGCATGGGCGTTTTACCTGCCTTCCAGGGCGTATACAGTAAAACTTAACCGATTTTGCGAAAAGATTTGTCGAAATAGGTACCGACAACTCTTTCGTCCCTTCTCGCTCGTAGTGTGCATTAGGTAACGCTGTGGTGGCTGAACTGCTCCAGCCGTCTCCTTTGTGTTTGTTTGTTTCCCCCTGTCTGTGTTGTTTGTGTGGGCGTGGTGGCTGTCACTCCTGGCTCCCGGCTCAACCTCCACTTACCTGCTGCAATCAGCTGTGCACCCTCCCCGACTACACACCTGCTTTCCATCAAGCCATTTACAACAGCATATCAACGGAGGCTCCACAACCTTTCTCCGCCAGATCGTCAAGTATCAGCCGTATCTCGCGTCTCCCCTCCGGTACACAGCCACCGTAGTGTGGAGTTGCATTAGGTAACGCGGAGATACGGCTGATACTTGCGCATTAGTTTCTGTTATGGATCAGTATCAAGAGTCCTGCCAGTAACGTTACTATCTTATCAATACTACTTAGTTATAGCCTGATACATGATTGCTAACTTCACAATGTTGTGATGTGACTGACGTTAGCTAACATTAACTGTAGCTAACGCCGGTCACTCACCAAGACAGCTGCTCTGTTCTCCACTGGTTCTCCTCACACCAAAGCTCCATTTCTCTCCGATGGCCGTTATTTTTTCTAATCCTTGGCTGCTCCTGGTCTCTTGGAGACATAGCAGGCTCATAATTATAATCATATGCATTCGAATATATATTTTCAACCTCTTCTGTGTCAAAACTAGCATTGTGATCCATGTTTATTCATACGTTAGACCGGCCGCTCTCCCCCATGTTACGTCACACGCGGGATGTCACGTGCGGAGGCTTTTTTATGCGGAAGTGAAAATGTCTTACTAAAACGACGCCAGATGTCACTGTAGTGTATATTTCTGTATATTTTTTTGAAAATCTAGTGTATTCATAATTTTTCTA